GATCAGGACTCCTCTAATGAGAAAGAAAACCATGACTTGTCATGTGAATCGTTTGAAGCTATTTCATGAACATGTTACCGCTGTGACTCAGCCTTGTTTAGTCTCTGCAGATGTTTCTCCCCCACTGCCTGATACTGTGCAAGATGATGCTGTGACGTGGAGTTCGCTGCCCCCTTTCACCCCACGTCTCTGCAATTCCGAAGCTCTCTCCAACCTGTCGTCCAGTTTGAGTCACCTCACCTCTTCGCAACAGGAGGAGCTTTCTCATTTAATTCACTCTTTTCCAGAACTATTTTCAGACGTGCCCAGTCAGACCCACCTAATAACTCATGACATCAGCCTTACTGATTCCGTCCCCGTTCGTATGCACCCTTACAGGGCTAGTCCGATGAAGAGGGAACTAATGAGAAAGGAGGTAACTTATCTATCAGAACATGGCCTAGCAAAACCCAGCACCAGTTCCTGGAGCTCGCCATGTTTATTGGAAAATAAACCTGATGGCTCATATAGGTTTGTTACGGACTACCGCAAGTTAAATGCAAAAACCGTCCCAGATTCGTTTCCTTTGCCTCGTGTAGAAGACTGTGTGGATAGTGTGGGTTCAGCCACATTTGTCACTAAACTAGATCTTTTAAAAGGCTATTGGCAGGTGCCACTAACTCCGTTTGCTTCTAAAGTGTCTGCTTTCGTCACTCCAGTTAACCTGCTCCAGTACACCGTGTTGCCGTTCGGTTTAAGGAATGCCCCCGCTACTTTCCAGCGTCTAGTGAACCAGGTTTTGTGTGATGTGCCTCATTGCAGCGCGTATCTTGATGACATAGTCATCTACACTCAGTCCTGGGATCTGCATCTCCAGATATTAGCTCAAGTCTTTGACCGCTTAAAGATGGCTAATCTGACTCTAAACCTCGCCAAGTGTGAGTTCGTGAAAGCCACTGTCCGTTATTTAGGGAAGGAAGTAGGACAGGGCCAAGTGAGGGCGCTGTCTGATAAAATCCAGGCTATTGTTTCATTTCCGCCACCGACCACACGCAGAGAACTCCGTCGATTTCTGGGCATGACCGGTTATTACCGCTGTTTTTGCCGTAACTTCTCCACTGTTGCCAAACCTCTCACAGATATGTTAAGCACAAATATCCCATTCTCTTGGACCTCTGACTGTAACCAGGCGTTCCTTGCTCTGCGTGACCTACTCTGTTGTGCTCCAGTTCTTACAGCTCCTGACCTTTCTCGACCTTTCAAGCTTGAGGTCGATGCCTCTGATGCCGGAGCCGGAGCTGTGCTTCTCCAGGAAGATGCTGGTGGACTTGATCACCCCATCTGCTACTTCTCAAGGAAGTTTAACCTTGCACAACGCCGTTATTCCACCATAGAGAAGGAGACCCTAGCCCTCATATGGGCCCTGCAACATTTTTCTGTTTATGTTGGCAACAGTGCATTCACCACCATTGTGTTTACAGATCATAATCCGCTGGTCTTCCTCCACCGAATGTACAACCACAATCAGCGCTTGATGAGATGGGCTCTCCTCCTCCAAGAATTCAACTTGGACATCCGCCACAAGAAAGGGACAGAAAACCTCATGGCTGACGCCCTTTCCCGCAGTTTTTCGATTGAGACTCCCTTGTAGGTTTTAGATTGTTCGATCTCTGATAAGGCTAGTGTTGTCTGTTCATTCAGACATCTCGGGAACACTCCGCGGTGCTGGGGATCAGCGCCGTGAGATATTTTGTGTTTAATCTGCCCACCTTTGAGATCTAGGGGTTAGTTAGTTAGTTTTTTTTGTGTGTAGTTAGCGGGAGTTCTCTTCAGTTGTTCGGTTACAACAACTATGGTCATTTTTAGTTGTTGTTTTGAGGGGGGGAGTGTGACGTGCACCGTCTACTTTTGGCCTCAAGAGGCCCTCGGTCCGCTGCCTGCACAGCTGCAGGCTGTTAGATAAATTGAGCCTCCCTGTTAAAAGGGGGAGAGATGTGCAGATGGGTGTTGGCACGGAGGTGTTTGCTCTCCTCTCTAGCTCTCCTCGCTTACAGACGTTAAAGTCTTCGATTCGCTACCTGAGTGGTATTTCCGTTTGTGTTAAGACCTTAGTGGTATTTTTGTGTTTGATAATATTAATAGTAATTCGTGTGTCCTCGTTATAGAGAGACTTGCCTCACCCTTTTGGTGCAGTTTTGCATTTTCCGTTTAGCCTTATTCCAGCCTATGTGCTGCGCTTTTGGTTTATTAGTAGATATCGTTTTTCTTTATTGGGAAATTCATTTGTTTATTAATACCCAGTTTTGGATGACCCTTTTGTTCCCTTTTCAGCCTAGAGCTTCGTTTTTGTTTAATAAATATCTTATAGAGAACTGTAAAAGTGTTCGCTTCATTTACAGTACAAAATCTTCTTTACTCCCTAAACACATCGTGCTCCTAGCGAAGCCGAGGGGCGTAAAAACAAGTCAAGTATCAAAATGACTGAAATCTCTTTAATAAATCATAGAAATGTTTGTAGGCTATTAGAGAATAACTCTGTAATATTTAATAACTTTATCTAAGTCCTACTGAACAAAAACATGCACAAAATGTAAAAATATATTCTTGAAATATTTGTTTCATTTTAATAATAAAAATTAAAAACATTTACTTTACAAATACACTAAACATATACATACTCTATACTTTATCTTTCAGTTTAATCGATCTCTCACTTTTCTCAGTTTTCATAGTGTTTTTGGGTCTGTGTGGTCAACGGGATCTTTGGCTCTATGTTTTACACTGAGAGCTTTGAGCAACGTGCCTCCACCACACATTTGCTGCGTTCATCCCTAAGCTGCACGGTGCACCTGCACTTTGACATATTGTAAACAACTGCAGAGGCTGGGGAAGACGGGATAAGAGCGGTTAAACGCTGTGGTTTTCCATACATCGGACCAGTTAGTTTTGATTCTACCATATTCTGTGTGTGTGTGTACATGTGTGAGTGTGTGTTTCATGAAACTCATTGGGTGTTTTTGTGGAGTTTTTACTACTGATGCTCTACTTTCTATGAATGATTTTCGATGGAAACATGTATACATCTACTTATCATTCATCAGCTAAATAGGATGAAACACGGACATTTTCATCAATCTATAAATGCTCCGCAGATTCCAGAGGCAGACCGTGAAAGCGTACGTGTCCGGAAAAAGGAACTTTTGATCACCTTAGTGAATGGAATAATAATAGCGGAATAATCCTGGAATGACCAGAGAACATGAAGTGACAACTTTTTTTTTTTACTGTGGTGGTGGTGGTCTGTCATAAAGGGATCTCCGACCGGTGATCAAAATCTAAAGATAATCGGTGTCTATGTTTGACATTTATGACCACATTTGACGTACATATTCAAGTTTGTAGAACAAGCGTGTGATTATTGACTTACTGCTGGAAACCGCTGGCTTTTGATTCCCGCCTCCTGTGAGCCTGCGGGCTGCTGTGAAGCTGTGAGCCAGGCAAAGCCGGCAGCCCCGCCCGTTGGAAACGGCGATTGTGGACCGACCGTACCAACTTGAAGAATTGGGGTGGGGGGGTGGACTATAATTTCTCAACAATTAAAAACACATTGTTTTGTATTTACAGAATAACTTTTACGTTGTGGGTTTAGAAGACAATACAGGTTTACTGATAGCATTTGTGTTTACAATAACCTCTTTTGTGTGTGTGTGTGTGTGTGTGTGTGTGTGTGGGGGGGGGGCAACTTTGTGTGAGGGGGGACGTGCCCCCCCCCCCCCTGGGATCTCCGCCTATGGGTCAGTAAACACCTTGCTGATGAATGGGCTGGAACCAAGCTGGTACCTGGATTCTGTCGCAGCACCTCTGTTGTATTCGGGTTTGTTTTAGTTCCCGACACAGTTTGGGGCTGTAGCTGCAGCACCCCCCACCACCACGCTGGGACCAGCTGTTCCTGATGGGTCCACACCTATACTGGTGCATCCCCTCTGCATTTCCAACACGTTGTTTTAACACAGATGTTGCATCAGCAGCTGGGAGAGTAGATCGTTCATTTAAAACAACACACGTGCATTTTTCTAAAGGTCATTTATTCATCACAGTACATGGACAGCATGTTAGACACGTGTAAAACAACCACACCAGCAAAGGGTCCCATAGTTTATGTTGTTACAGATACTTCATGTAATGCTGATAGACAATAAAACACTGCTGTCCTTCTATCCATCCAACTGTCCCACACCAGCCACCGTACCGCCAACCCTAGTACCACACTGACTGATATTAAGACTTTTATTTGCTAATACATGTTACAACTGATTAATAAAATAAAACAAAACTAAAATAGTGTTTATATGTGTCCTTTGTTCTACTTTAACAATAAGAAATAGGTGTATTCACAGTTTATGAATCTGCTCACGTTCCTTACACGTCGTCTACAAGCTCCACTGAACATTCAGAGAAACACCTGGATGTGTGTTTTAGCGGATCTGCTCTCCTGGAAAGTTCGTATAAAACACGTTTGCAAGCGTTTACGTGTTCAAGCAGAACCGCTAAGCCACCATTCGCGCTGTGCAAGTTTCAGAAAGAGTGGCTCCACATCCCAACATTCTTCTGATTCTTTAAAAAATAAATAAGTCTTTAGAATGTGGAAGTTTCCCCTGCTGTCATTGGAGGAGAACGCATCACCTGTGTGCTGACTCACCTGTTAGCCGCCTTGGCCAGGGGAGAGATAGTCAGCACAGTAATACACCCCACCTGTCCCCCTCACACACACTCACCTGTCCCACACTCACCTGTCCCCCTCACACACACTCACCTGTCCCCCTCACACACACTCACCTGTCCCCCTCACACACCCTCACCTGTCCCCCCTCACACACACTCACCTGTCCCCCTCACACACACTCACCTGTCCCCCCTCACACACACTCATCTGTCCCCCCTCACACACACTCACCTGTCCCCCCTCACACACACTCACCTGACCCCCTCACCTGTCCCCCCTCACACACACTCACCTGTCCCCCCTCACACACACTCACCTGTCCCCCTCACACACCCTCACCTGTCCCCCCTCATACACCCTCACCTCTCCCCCCTCACACACACTCACCTGTCCCCCCTCATACACCCCTCACCTGTCCCCCCTCACACACACTCACCTGTCCCCCTCACACACACTCACCTGTCCCCCCTCACACACACTCACCTGTCCCCCTCACACACACTCACCTGTCCCCCCTCACACACACTCACCTGTCCTCCCTCACACACACTCACCTGTCCCCCTCACACACACTCACCTGTCCCCCTCACACACACTCACCTGTCCTCCCTCACACACACTCACCTTTCCCCCTCACACACACTCACCTGTCCCCCTCACACACACTCACCTGTCCCCCTCACACACACTCACCTGTCCTCCCTCACACACACTCACCTGTCCCCCTCACACACACACTCACCTGTCCCCCTCACACACACTCACCTGTCCTCCCTCACACACACTCACCTGTCCCCCTCACACACACTCACCTGTCCCCCTCACACACACTCACCTGTCCCCCCTCATACACCCTCACCTGTCCCCCCTCACACACACTCACCTGTCCCCCTCACACACACTCACCTGTCCCCCCTCATACACCCTCACCTGTCCCCCCTCACACACACTCTCCTGTCCCCCCTCATACACCCTCACCTGTCCCCCCTCACACACACTCACCTGTCCCCCCTCACACACACTCACCTGTCCCCCTCACACACACTCACCTGTCCCCCCTCACACACACTCACCTGTCCCCCTCACACACACTCACCTGTCCCCCCTCACACACATTCACCTGTCCTCCCTCATACACACTCACCTGTCCCCCTCACACACACTCACCTGTCCTCCCTCATACACACTCACCTGTCCCCCCTCACACACACTCACCTGTCCCCCCTCACACACACTCACCTGTCCCCCTCACACACACTCACCTGTCCCCCCTCACACACATTCACCTGTCCTCCCTCATACACACTCACCTGTCCCCCCTCACACACATTCACCTGTCCTCCCTCATACACACTCACCTGTCCCCCTCACACACACTCACCTGTCCCCCCTCACACACACTCACCTGTCCCCCCTCACACACACTCACCTGTCCCCCTCACACACACTCACCTGTCCCCCCTCACACACATTCACCTGTCCTCCCTCATACACACTCACCTGTCCCCCCTCACACACACTCACCTGTCCCCCTCACACACACTCACCTGTCCCCCCTCACACACATTCACCTGTCCTCCCTCATACACACTCACCTGTCCCCCCTCACACACATTCACCTGTCCTCCCTCATACACACTCACCTCTCCCCCTCACACACACTCACCTGTCCCCCTCACACACCCTCACCTGTCCCCCCCTCACACACACTCACCTGTCCCCCCTCACACACACTCACCTGTCCCCCCTCACACACACTCACCTGTCCCCCCTCACACACACTCACCTGTCCCCCTCACACACACTCACCTGTCCCCCTCACACACTCACCTGTCCCCCTCACACACACTCACCTGTCCCCCCTCACCTATTCCCCTCACACACACCCTCACCTGCCCCCCCCCACACACCCTCACCTGTCCCCCCTCATACACCCTCACCTGTCCCCCCTCACTCACACTCACCTGTCCCCACCTCACCTGTCCCTCATACACCCTCACCTGTCCCCCCTCACACACACTCACCTGTCCCCCCTCACACACACTCACCTGTCCCCCCTCATACACCCTCACCTGTCCCCCCCTCACCTGCCCCCCTCACACACCCTCACCTGTCCCCCTCACACACCCTCACCTGCCCCACTCACACACCCTCACCTGTCCCCCAAACACACAGTCACCTGTCCCCCAAACACACACTCACCTGTCCCCCTCACACACAGTCACCTGTCCCCCCTCACACACCCTCACCTGTATTGTCCCTCACCTGTACCCCCTCACCCGCCCACACGTTGGTGTGAAGATTTAATGGTTGAATAATTATCGGTGGATGGATTTGGGGCACATGATCTTAAATATTGTGCAGCAACAGTTTTTCCACCTGTAGAAAGTAGTGAGTGGCGTGTGAGAGAGTCTGACATCAGTAGTTGGTTCTGACCCACCAGAGTGAGCCGAACATCTAGAGAATAAAGGACAGACAGAGGTCCAGGGGAGATTCACATTTTCTGGGCTACATCATTTCAAGCTGAAAAGTCATTCCTACTTAGAGCAACACAAGTCATTAATACACCAAGTTTTAATAGACAGAATCAAATATATGCAGGCTGGCGGCTTAGTTTACTGGAGTTTTTACAGAGGAGTTGTCGCTGGATCAGAACCAGTGACGTAGAGAGCAGAGCCCCCAACAGGCTACAACACGCCTCCTTTGTTATGTTCAGGTTTCTGCTAACAGCATCTGTATTTGTGGAATCTGATTTTAAAAAATGCTCGCTTTTATTTCTGAGTCTCACAAAAGGCCTCAGAGAGACAGCATCTTCATCCAGGGTGGAGAAGTCACTCTGATGGTGAAGGATGGAGACATTTTGTTTCTGTACCAGAAACAGAAAACATGGAGACAAGGAGGCTGTGGCAGAAAATAATGAAACTAATAAACACACCAGTGGCACATAAATGGAATAAAACAACTAAATAGTGTTTATGAGCAATGAGCTTGTGCTCACTGGGGTGGGGATAACAGCCAAAGCCTTCAGGAGCAACATGACTTCCTCCAGAGGGCGGATCAGCTGAAAAGGTTTCTATTAAAGGGCTCTCTAGCACCCCCTGCTGTTTACTTCGAAAAGGACAGCCATCTGCTGTGGCCCTTGATCTGTGATCAGGTTGACTGTGAGATAAATTTAGCCGAAACCCCCCACCCCGACCCGTCTGTCTTCTGTAGCTCCAGGTTCCTTCAAGAATTACTTGTTGTGAGCCAGAACATCACTGAAGATGTTGAGGAACAGGTGGACATGGTAATCCCTGAAGATGAGTGCTGGACGGAAGCGAATCGATGATTCTCCACATCCTCCAAGGATCACACCTGTTGAAGACAGGCCCTGTTACTGGCTGCACACACACACGCACACGCACACACACACACACGCACGCACACTGGGGTCTGTGCAGTCAAACACTGGGTAGGAAACTTATTGGAGCTTTAACCATGAGTCTGAGCTTTTAACACAGGCACGACTTTACTGTCGCCAGACTGATTTACTGAGGATGTTTCAGTGTTTAATATCAGCTCCGTATAACACACATTACCCCGTCGTCAAACCTCCTTAATCCTCTGCGCTGTTGTAGCAGCCTCCGGTCCAAAGCTGATCAACTTGAAAAAAATGCATGCAGTCACGTTTGGCCTAAACAGCAGTGATGGGAATTCCAGCTCTTTTTAGAGAGCCGGTACTTTTGGTGCCCTGCGATGGACTGGCTCTCTGTCCAGGGTGTACCCCGCCTACTTGCCCGTTGACCGCTGGAAATAGGCACCAGCACCCCCCCGCGACCCTGCGTGGACAAAGCGGGTTCAGAAAATGGATGGATGGACGTTTCTTTTGGCTCCCAAGTGGCTCCTCAGATTTTCTGTTGCGTAGAGTACATTTATAACCAAAATATGCAAAACTATATGTAAGATGATTTACTAATGTAAAATATGCAATATATCAAATATTAATCATTTCTATGGATTTAATAACTGAACACTTTAAGAAATCTCAACCTTCCGACTGCTGGTGCTCATTTTCTCACCATCTTTGTCGCACTCTCCTCTCTCTCTCTCTCTCTCTCTCTCTCTCTCTCTCTCTCTCTCTCTCTCTCTCTCTCGCCTTTTTCCTCCTCATTCCCTCTCGTCTCCCTCCGCCAGCATGTGCTCTGCTGTGTGTCTGAGTCTGATCCTCCCTCTTCCCCGCCCCTACTGCTCTGTGTGTGGACAGTCTGGACACGCAGTTACACATGTTGACCAATCGCCTGTAGCTGTCACCAAAACAAGAGGGGGGGGGGGGGGGGGGGGGCTCCCAATGACGAGCCGGCTCCCGTCGGTCACTTCAAAGAGCCGGCTCTTAAAGCCGATTCGTTCGCGACCGACACATCACTACTAAATAGATAATAATATATCAACCATATATTACTGTGCGTTACTATATTTGAGTATTCGTTAAACATAACACACCCCAGCACAATGTGGTTTACTGCCAGGGCGAGCGCTGTCATCATCTGGGTAATGGAATATTCATTCTTCCGCGTACCCCCTTTAATGCGCTCACAGACCACTAGGGCATGCATGCTCCTGGTTGGGAATCACTAGCTTAGGCGACTGGTGTCATGTAGCAGACTTGGTGGCCCAGTGGTTAGCGTGCTGGGCTGGCATGTAGTTTTGCACAGGTTTCCTTCCCGGTCACAGCAATAATTCTTCTTCTTTTTTAGCTGCATTTGCCATTTTTATGTTTTCAACCATTTATTGTTCAACTGTTTAATGTTTTTTTTGTACTTTGTTTATTTAGCTGGGGCTGCACAGTATGGTTGGGCATCGAGCATCAATTTGAACCGGAACCAACTGTTACTTTTTCCCAGAATCGGTCAAAGTTTGTTATTTTTTTAGATTCCTAGTTCCGATTCCTAGAATGCCGACCGGAAGAGGAATCTGCGGCCGATCTCCGTGAAAAATAAACGTGATCTGCAAATTGTGATCAACACATGTGCTTTGTGGATTTGGAGAAGACTTATGACCGTGTCCCCAAGGGCACCCTGTGGGGGACGCTCCAGGAGTATGGGGTGGGTGGCTTTCTGTTAAGGGCCATTCAGTCCCTTTACCAGAGGATCGTGAGTTTGGTCCGCATAGCCGGTAGTAAGTTGGACCTGTTCCCGGTGAGGGTTGGACTCCGCCAGGGCTGCCCTTTGTCACCAGTTCTGTTCATTACCTTTATGGACAGAATTTCTAGGTGCAGCCGTGGTGTGGAGTGTGTCGAGTTTGGTGGCAGGAGAATCTCGTCTCTGCTTTTTGCGGATGATGTGGTCCTCCTAGCTTCATCCAGCTCTGACCTTCAGCTCTTGCTGGGTAGGTTCTCGGCCGAGTGTGAAGCGGCTGGGATGAGGATCAGCACCTCCAAATCTGACACCATGGTTCTCGACCGGAAAAGGGTGGCTTGCCAACTCCGGGTAGGGGGAGAAGTCCTACCTCAAGTGGAGGAGTTTAAGTATCTCGGGGTCTTGTTCACGAGTGAGGGTAGGAGGGATCGGGAGATCGACAGGCGGATTGGTTCAGCATCTGCAGTGATGCGGACGCTGAGCCGATCTGTCGTGGTGAAGAGGGAGCTGAGCTAGAAAGCCAGGCTCTCGATTTACCAGTCGATCTACGTCCCAATCCTCACCTATGGTCATGAGCTTTGGGTAATGACCGAAAGAACGAGATTGCGGATACAAGCGGCCGAAATGAGTTTCCTCCGTAGGGTGGCCGGGCTCAGCCTTAGAGATAGGGTGAGGAGCTCGGACATTCGGGAGGGACTCGGAGTAGAACCGCTGCTCCTCCGGATCGAAAGGAGTCAGTTGAGGTGGTTTGGGCATCTGGTCAGGATGCCTCCTGGATGCCTCCCCGGGGAGGTGTTTCGGGCATGTCCTGTCGGCAGGAGGCCCCCGGGTCGACCCAGGACACGTTGGAGAGGTTACATCTCCAATCTGGTCCGGGAACACCTTGGGGTCCTGCCGGAGGAGCTGGTGGAGGTGGCCGGGGCGAGGACGGTCTGGAGCTCCCTAGTTGGGATGCTGCCCCCGCGACCCGGACCCGGATAAGCGGAGGAAGACGACGACAACTTTTCAGAGCTGATCACACCAGCTGTCTGTGTGCAGCACCGAGTTTTTGGGGTGCCCTAAATTTACCCCCAGCACTCCTAAAGTTTGACATTTAATTATCTATTCATTTTCAGTGTTTGAGGTGATTTTTAACACATCAGTAATATCTAAAACCCATACAGTAGGTTAAAATATGATGTTTTAATAACAAAAATACAGCAAATCTCCCCCGTCTCAAAAATGGTTTGATCATGCTGACATACCCAGATTCGGCTCTGAGCCTCCTGATTGGCTGCTATGCTGCAGTTAGGGTGACCAGGGTTCCTGCATCCTGTGGGACAGTCCTGAATCTACATTATTTTTCACAGGTCCTGCTAACTGAGAAACCGTCCAGCATTTTTGACTGTATCCCACTTCGTCTTTGAATCTTGTATAGAGCTCCGGGAGTTGACGTCACTTCTCCCGGCATGCAACAGTTCAAAACGAAACTGCGCCATATTGGCAGGCAGAAACCGGCTGCTGGACTATTTGTTATTGTCAGAAAACTCAATCAGACGGGAAATATGGTAGATTCCTGTTGTGCCCCAGGATGCAGAACAGACACAGACGACATAAGGAATGAGCCATCTACAGGATTCCCCAAGATCCGGAGCGCCGCAAACGTTGGATCATTGTAATAAAACGCACTAGAGACCGGGCTAAAATGAAGCTGTGGGATCCCGAGAGAAAAGGTTTTCGCTTATGCAGCGACCGCTTCATATCAGGTACTTAAACCAACGTTTCCTCAACTGTGTATGGTATTTATTTTAAATGCTCTTATTAGGATTCTTAGTGGGCTTCCTAAACTTATTTTGGCGTGGCTTCTTCTGTCTTATTACTCATAGCAACAAGCAAACATCACGTAAAACGTTGCCTCGTGATTTCTGCGTGTTGCTGTTTACGTGTTTTATGATCACAGCAATTAACCGGCTAAGCTGTATTTCATTTTTAAGCAATGGTTGATCAATTGTCAAGATAAAAAGCACTTTGGATTGCTATTATCTGTCTCACCGAGACAGATCTCAGACGGATCCTGAGTCGCTCCTGCCTGACATATTTATTTTATTCACGGAAAAAAATCAGACTAGTGATTTCTCTTGGCGTTCAGTTTATACATTCAAACAGCACAGCACTCTATTTAAACTACTTACGTGTAAATCTGTTATTTGTCCATCCATACATCCATTTTCATCCGCTTATCCGGGGTCGGTTTGCGGGGGCAGTAGCCCAAGTCGAGAGGCCCAGACTTCCCTCTCCCCAGCCACTTGGGCCAGCTCCTCCCGGGAAATCCCAAGGGGTGCCCCGGCCAGGTCTGGTAAGAAGTCCGCTTCTGGCGTATTTAAAAAGTATCCCAGGAGCACGGTAAGGTTCGGAGATGTTTAGTCTATTTAATTTCTCACTATATAAAACAATTTCTTCGGTTTTAAAGTGTGAAGTAAACTCCGACGAAGTAAAATCCAAGCCGATCCCGTTCATTTTGTTTACATTTGTTGCCTGACAACATGGCGTCTACTCTCTGAGAGTCGCGTGACGTCTGGAGCTCTGTAAACTGATTGTGAAGCGACAAAAGCTGCTGTCAATCATGCTAGGAGGCGGGGCTTTGGTGCGGGTCTGGAGCGCGCAACTCAAGAACCTCCAAACCTAAAGGAAACGACTGAGTGATCCTGGACCAATGGGAGATGAACACGGTGGAGAAATGCTGTTACAACAAAGATTGAAGGGTTAAATCTGCTCAGGTTCCTCAGTGATCAGACAGGCTGCTGCTGCAGAAGCCCAATCCTGACCCCGGTTTCACACCGCAAGAAGAAGAAGAAAGTATAATTTCTATAGCGCCTCTCAAGATAAAAATCACGAGGCGCTCCACAAAAAAAAAAAAAAAAACTAAAAATATAAAAAAGCATTTAGAAAATGTTTAAAAATATATTTAAAATGAGCAAAAATGGGCTATTGGAGTTTAAAAGAAAAAATGTAAAGAAAGAGAGAGAGTGAATTGGAAAGAGGGAAATCAGTGGATCCTGAGGAAGGTGGAATAGGTGGGGAGAGCAGAATAAAGAGAGAGTGGTGAAGAAGGTCATACAAAGCCAGCCTGAACAAGTGAGTCTTCAGCTGCTTTTTAAAGGAGACCACTGAGTCCACTGATCTCAGGCTCAGGGGGAGAGAGTTCCAGAGTCTGGGGGCCACAGCAGCAGATGATCTGTCACCTTTGACCTTTAGCCTGGTGCTGCACAACCAGTAGGCTTTGATCACTGGACCTCAGGGACCTGCTGGGGGTGTAGGGACTACGAAGATCACCAATGTAAGATGGTGCTTGTCCATGTAAGGCCCTATAGACCAGAACCAGGATCTTGAAATGAACCCTGAAGTTGACTGGCAGCCAGTGAAGCTGGAGGAGAAGCGGGGTGATGTGGGTGTGTTTGGAGGACTTGGTCAGAAGCCGAGCACAGGCATTCTGAACCACCTGTAGACGGTTCAGGGAGGTTCTGCTCAGACACGTGAAAAGAGAGTTACAGTAGTCTAAGCGTGAGGAGATGAAGGAGTGGAGAACTGTCTCAAGTTCAGAGCGGGACAGAATGGGACTCAGCTTAGCAATGTTCCTGAGATGGAAGAAGGAAGAGCCAACAAGAGAACTGACATGAGAATCCAGGGTGAGAGCTGGGTCAAAGGTCACGCCAAGATTCCTGACAGAAGGTTTGGTGTGAGAAGCAAGCTGACCAAGAGAGTCTCTGACTTTGGGAACCAGCTTGTCTGGGGCACAGATGAGGATCTCAGTCTTATCTTCATTCAGCTGAAGAAAGCTCCCAGCCATCCAGGTTTTGATAGAGTCTAAGCAGGTGTGTAACAGCTGCAGCTTAGACATCTCATGGGGCATAAAGGAGATGTACAGTTGGATGTCATCTGCATAAAGATGGTAGGAGATTCCTTTGAAGGAGCTCAGGATGTGCTGAAGAGGAAGCAGATAGAGGAGGAAGAGCAGAGGCCCCAGCACAGAACCTTGTGGGACACCATGGGTATGGGAGGTGGTGGAGGACCTAAACTTGGGAGACAGCCACAGAAAAGGAGCGCTCAGAAAGATAAGAGGAGAACCACTCCAGAGCAGATCCTGATAGGCCTACCCAGTCTCTCAGCCTCTCCAGTAGCAGGTGATGGTCAACAGTGTCAGAGGCTGCAGTCAGGTCCAGCAGGACCAGAACAGAACAGTCCCCTGCATCACTGTGAGTCAGAAGGTCATTAGAGACCCTAAGAAGAGCTGTTTCAGTAGTGAGTTGTGAGTTGTTTAGCCACAACCTTTTCCAAGATCTTGGAGATGAACGGAAGTTTAGAGATGGGTCTGAAGCTGCTATGGAGAGAGGGGTCGAGACTCGGTTTTTTAAGAAGCAGGTGGATTACAGCGTTCTTAAAGTAAGCAGGGACCTGACGAGAAACCAGAGAAGCATTAATTATAGAGAGCACGCTGGGACCGATGGACTGAAAAGCACTTTTAAACAAAGATGAGGGTAAGATGTGGAGGGGGCATGCAGAGGTCTTCATAGAGTTAACTAGTTTGGTTAACTCAGGCAAAGAAACAGGAGCAAAGCTATCTAGGATGACAGGCAGGGTTGGAGTCGGGAGATGCAGCGATAAGGCTGAAGGAGAGATGCTAGATCTAACCTTACTGACTTTGTCCACAAAGAAAGACAGAAAGTTCTCACAGTCTGCAACAGAGTGGATGGAGGCTGTAGGAGAGGCAGGAGAGACGATGCTGCTGATGGTGTTAAACAGCACCTTGGGGTTCCCTTTGCTCTGGGACACCAGGTTGGAGAAATAGGAAACCCTTGCATCTCTGACTGCAGAGTTAAAGGATGTCAGAAGATCCTTTAGGTGCAGCAGATGGACGTGGAGATGGGTTTTCTTCCACAAGCGCTCAATTTTTCTGCATTGGCGCTTCAGGCTGCGAAGGCTGTCATTAAACCAGGGAGTAGGGTTCACTGCAGGAACTGATCTGGTTCTGACAGGACAGATGTTGTCCAGAATGGAGAGGCAGTGCTCGTTGAACTGAGAAGTTAAGGAATCTGGGTCGTTATCAGAAGAACAGGGTGGATCAAAAGCAGCAGAAAAATTGCTAGCTGTGCTCTCATTAAGAAAACGAGAACTAACCACACGGCGAGCAGGAGGTGGGGACGCAGAAACTGACAAGTTAAAGAAAATGCAATGGTGATCTGAAATATAAACGTCCTCAGGACAAACACTGTCAGCATTTAGACTCAGGGTAAAAACAAGGTCTAGAGTGTGCCCCCTGGTGTGTGTGGGGCCAGAAATATGCTGGGTAAAGCCGAAGGAGTCCATGAGGCTGGAGAAATTCATGGCAAAGTGATCAGAGGGATCATCAACGTGGATGTTAAAGTCACCAATTTCATATCTATGTAGCTTGCATCTGACCCAATGGCTTATTTACTCCCAGTATCATTCCAGAAGTGCAGCAGTGTTTTTTATGGCTTTAATCCTGGCAGTAGACAGGGCCAACAACATAAATGACATCAAATATTTATAAAAATGTGAGTTCCTTCTTTTTGGTTTAATGGCGGATTGCATAAGCAAACCGTTAACCTTGTAAGTGTCGAGGGATTTTGTGATCTCGTGACTCGAGCGAGAAGCACAGCAGAGAAGTCGCTTCGCTGCTGAGACTCTCCCAGTGTGCACTGGAGTGCTGTGATTGCCGCGAGTAAACCGTGCAGTAGGGGTAAGTGCTTGTCCCTCCAGAAGAAGCTACAATGGTGTTCTGTTGAGCTGTGATAGCCTCCTGATGGGGCCACTGGCTGACACACTGCTGCTCCCTCTCCTCCAGTGAGTGACGTCACTGATCAGCACCAAAAGGCTTCCATGGTAAGATTAACTCATTGACTGCCACTGACGACTAGAGTCGTCATTCTAAATCCAACTGCTCACAAAATAACTTTGAGTTCTGTTGAAAATTCACGTGTTTTCAATTCCAACGGGTTGGAAAAATATCGTGCAGCTCTGTGTGATTGCTACCTTTGTCTCTGGTCTGCAGCAGGATCCGGTCACGAGTTGCAGCGTCGCATACATCAACAGCACAGAACGTCCCCTGTCCTCGAGCTCGGCTCAAAAGGCCAGGGAACTGAGCCTGAAATCAGAGAAACAGTGGCTCAACAAGCTGCAACCACCACACACACACACACACACACACACACACACAGACACACACACACACACACACACACACACACACACTACCAGTACCTGCAGGTCATACAGCCCGTCTAACAAGGCTTTTCCAGAGCGAGCCACTTCCTCCAAAAGGTTCTCTCTACGAATCACATTGAGAACCTCAGCCAGGAACAGGTTCTTGGATGGGTCACCCATCCATGTGTTGAAAATGCGATAAGGCTGGAGAGAAAAAACAATGCAAAAACATTCACAAGAGACAACCCAGAATGCTTATTCTTGAGTCACACACATTTTAGAACAACTACATCACCTAATGCCTCCATTAAAATATCTATAAATATTGGTACCAGTGGTCCCGTTGACTTTCCCTCTGACCGTTTAAACTGCTGGCAGAAGAATCTGAAGGCCGTCTTGTCATTTGGACGGATTATAATTATAATATTAATTAGCTGTGGTCTCTCGTTGGTTACCCTAAGAAAAATGTCACAGCAGCTGAGTTTCCAAAGTTTCTACAAAAAGCCTAAAGACTAGGACTTTGGAGCACATCTCTGATCACTGCAGACTGGCACAGGTGGATCTGACGCTGGAGATTTATCCTGCTGAAGTGGGTGCAAGACATTCATGATAGACTCAAGACGACCTCCTCTGCAGAGATGCCACCTGAGACCAGGAGGAGGCCATGTGTTCAGGCTGAAGCAGGTGAACTGTTCCTTTTTAAGTGCAACAGTTTAATGTCCATGTGTAGCTACTGGGTGCGTGACGGTACCATGCAGATTCTGTTCAGCAGTTTCTGACTGAATATAATTACTAGGGATGCACCGATACTGGTAAAAGTTAGCCGATACCAATGCAGTTGCCTGAAAGAGGCTTCACTGTAACTTGTCATTTCTGTTCACCTAATATTTTAGTTTTGTGATCATTTTTATCAATATATTTTATTTTTATCTACCTCACAGTCTGTTGGGAGGAGAGAAGAAAATAAAACCTGTATTCCAACTCTTTGCATTTTTTGTGTGGTAGAAGTATCGGTATCTGTAATCGGTATTGGCGAGTACTCAGATTCAGGTATCGGTGCATCATTACTAATTACACTAACTACAACGAATGAACACTATGTCATCATCATTCAAAAGTCTTAAGTGACAGATAAAAATAAACAACGGCTATTTTTAGTCCGTCAGTCAAAATGAACACGGACCTCTGAGGGGTTCTTCATCCAGTCTGAGTTCAAACTAAAGTAGATCCCGTCTGGTCTGGGATCCCCGGGGATCCCCCAGTAACATTATGTCTGTGACCTCACTGATTCAGAACCCGTCTAAAAGTTTTACATCTTAAAATCACGACAAACCTTATCAGCTTGAAGCTCATCCCTGTAGAAGTAACCGCCCGACAGGAGCTTTTTACTGAAGGACACAATGTCGGCAGGGTCCTCCATACCCCAGTGCTCATGGGCCCAAAACTTCCCTGTAGATCCTCCACCCGTCTGCACTTCGTCGGCATGAAAAGCACAGCCATGCTGGGGGGCAAAGGTCAATGAGCCACGTTAAAGTAAAAGAACAAAAATGGACTCTGGGTGTATCCAAATCCACGGGTAGGATGCTCGTCCAATGACGTATAAGCTAAGCGACGAGAGCTGTCCACACTCGGAGGACACTCCAAATGTGTCCTCGTTCCCCCCGAACTTAGAGGATGGTCTGGATGGGCTACTGAGGATACCCTCAGTAGCACAGGCTGCCCCAGGATGTGGGCAACCGCTGGGTTCGCAGCAATGCAGAGAGCAGCGATGCTTTTAATGTAAGTTTGTTTAAAGCAGTGACAGAAAACTAAAAAGCCTAAAGCCATTCTGCTTTTAGCAGTTTTTATCTTTTTTCTTTTTACGTCATTTTAGGCAAAAATCCCGTATCTGAGCTTTAATGGTGGATTAATCCTGTGTGTGTGTGTGGGGGGGGGGGGGGGGGGGGGGGGAGCTATGACACATGACCACAGCCATTCAGCTCGTGTTCTGCTGTGAAATGCACAGCTTTTGCATTCAGGGATGAACACAGTTGGCGTGTTTGAAACTAGTTTTGAAGTGGGACAAATAAAATAAACACTAGAACGAAGAACAATGGGTCTTCACAGCGCTTTCGCTGCTCAGGCCTAACTATGTACGTGTTTTTATTCCCATGTTGATAAATAAAAATTTCCACAAAATGTGTTTGTTGCTGACTTTCCGTGTTTAGGACACCACGTATCCAGAGTCAGGAGAGGCTCCCTGGTGCAACCTTTACCTGGTTAGTCTTCACGGAGGAGGTGTTGGGAGAGAGGCCTTCCACTGTTATTATCAGTATCATCTCACAGGTCATTCTGTCACTTAAAACACGCATGGAGCTATTTAAATTTGACAAGTCCTGAAATCTTGTAGGCGAAACAAAAGGATGATCTCTCAGCCTTAGGAACCGACGTTCTCGACAGAGGTAAAGCTGCTGTAGCTCCTCGACCAAAACATAAAGAGAAAATCCCTGCTTCATTTTCATTAGCTTTAGCTCTTTTCCTTTGTTTGCTGCTGGGATGGCGTGACAGCACCTACAAGATGCGGCAGGGGTGGAGATAAAATGAAGACTATATCATCCGAAATCAGAACCTCTGACTCTCAGTTTTAGCAGTCGAGCAAGGACCTACATGGACCAGGTAGTACGCGTCCTGGCAAGCATCCTTCCCCTGGATTTGGAGACACCCTCTGATTCAGAGCAAGAAACAGAGGAACATTAATAACCCTTTGATGCATGAATTGTGAAAGCCTTGGGCAAGATTTCTTTCTGAAGTGCTTTTGTTCTTCTCAGGACATGAAAAAAATTTCTACTTTTTTCACCCCAAAAATATGTTTGTTTGTTTTTTCATAAAGTGACGGACATGTCCACTCCAAATGTGAACTTACTGTAAAAATGAATGACCTTGTATTCGCTTGAAAACATACAAACACTTGTTTCTTTAAGCATGGAAAATATTTCTAAAATGTTTGAAAATTATAACACAGAATAGGTGCAACGTTTAGGCCTTTATAGTAACTCAAACTACAGCGAATCTGCACAAAGAACATACTTTAAATGTAACAAGTATATACTTACTTATAACCAAAACAGTCCCAAGAAACAGTGAAGCAATGCATGACTTGTGTTAAAAACTATACTGGGTAATGCATGATTTCCACTTCCCTGGACACCAGGTTAATTGTAATTTTCTATAAATAAGACATAACATTTCATATTCCAAACAGATGATATCCTTTCCTAGATGTTACTGCTTATTATCATATTTGTTTTACCAGAGGAGCATAGAGGGACTGACAGGATATGCCAGCAGTGGTTAGCAGGGTGGCTGTTTGTTGGCCATCTTGAGTTCAGAAGAAATTTACGTCAGTTACTCTGACTGAACACTGAACGGATCTCAATGGAGAATGGCAGCAGAGAGCACTCTAGAGGCTAATATGCAGTTCCACCATAGAAAGCAATGCATTCAAGAGGAATTTATATTTTAGTAGCTGTCAACTGCAGTGACCGCCATGCACCAAAGGGAATCAGACCACACTCTGATGCTTCCTTCATCTGGTTACCTTGCGAGCGATGCCGCGAAGTTTCCTGAAGAAATCTGGGGAGGCATGGTTGTCCCCCCCCTCAGCCTGAATGGGTTCGATCACAATCCCAGCTACAGGCCTCCCCTTCTGCCTCCACTTCACTATCAGGTCCTCCACCTGCAGAGCAACACAGACCCAACACAGCTGCTTCCTGTCTGAACATCAACACAAACATTTAACACACACACACACGTACACAAAAACATGCATGCACACACACATATACGCATGCACACACACATGCACACACACACACGCGCGCACACACACATGTACACAAACACATGTACACACACGCACACACACACACACACGCACGTGTACACACACATGCACACACACACACACACGCCATGGAGAGAACATGGCGCTCTACGCATCACGAGGAGGCCTACCTATCCTGGAAAAATAGTCTTGTGCTTTATAAAAATAAGCTTCAACAAACTAGAACTGGCTATTTTTCAGCATTAATTGAGGAGAATAAGCATAATCCTAAATTTCTTTTCAGTACAGTTGCTAAACTTACACAGAATCATAGCTCTGAGCCATCTATTCCCTTAGCCCTCAGCAGCAATGACTTCATGGGATTTTTTACAAGTAAAATCAATTCTATTACAAACAAAATCTTTTGCATCTTTAGATTATCCAGAGTTATTTCTGTAGTTATGCTGCTATAGGCTTAGACTGCTGGAGGACACACTGACCACTTTCCACACTCGACTACTTTCTTCTACAATCTGCTCTTTAACTGTATTATTTCTGCTATTTCAGCTGTTAACTTTATTTTCTCTCTAAGCGTTTTTCTCCCCAGAAGAAGCTACAATGATGTTCTGCTGAGCTGTGGAGGCCTCATGGAGGGGGCCATCGTCTAGCACACTGCTGCTAACCACTTAAACATTCTCACTCTCCTGATAATAACTTTTTGCTTTCCTTGACGTTGAATGTGCTACTACTAGTTTATCCGCTTAATTATAGATCCACTAGGATAAATACAATAAAGTTTATCTCTCACCAAATAGAATATTTACTAAGAAATCACAATGTAACCATAGACACATTACTTTGTGTGTGTGTGTGTGCGTGCATCCGTGCGTGCGTGTGTGTGTGCGTTTGCTCTGTCTTCTCCATCCCCAGTGAGTCGTGGAGGATGGCTGCTTATACTGAGCCAGGATTCTCTGGAGGTTTCTTCCTGTTAAAAGGGAGTTTTCCTCTCCACTGTCGCTGCATGCTTGCTTAGTATGAGGATTGCTGTAAAGTCACTGACACTAGTCAGTGACTTGATGCAACTTGCTGGGTTCCTTATATAGGAAACATTATTTCTGATTGGCTTAATGAACTGACCTGAAATGGAATGTTTATTATGTGAAGTGCCTTGAGACGACTCTTGTCGTGATTTGGCGCTATATAAATAAACTTGAATTGAAAAAAATTGAATTGAATTCAATCGAATTGAATTGAACACACACACACACACGCGCACGTGTACACACACGCGCACGTGTACACACACGTGTACACACACACACACACACATGCACGTGTACACACACATGTGTACACACACACACACGTACGCATGCACACACACACACACACACACGTACACAAACACATGCACACACACACATACATACACACACACACACACACGCTCAGAGCCCACCTCCTCCAGACAGCGCGCCTCCTCCTGGGCGTTCTCTCGAGTAAACTCCTCCAGAGGGTACTGGAGTCTGGGGAACGGGGCAATCGGCCAATCAAATGACGGCACATCCAGCTTGTGGATTATTTTAGAGTGTGTTGTTGCCAAGCAACCTGGAAAAAACAAAGTATCCATGTACGCATGTCAGACATAAAGAATACATGTTTCTAATCTGGTAATTCATTAATCCCTGAGCAGTGTTGGGAAAGTGATTCTGATAAAATAATAAGTTATAGTTACTAATTACTTTTTCAAAACAGTACCTGAGTTAGTTGCTGAGTTACAATATTATTAAAGTAACTAATTACCAGGAAAAGTAACTGCATTACTATTTTTATAAAATATGCAAAAAAACAGGATCTCCTCTTAAATGTGAGCCTCCTCCACCCCTTTAACTCCTGGTCAGATGATGACAGCATCAACACGGCTTGCTGCTGAATTACAGCAACACACAAGCTGCAGTTCTATCATCAGTAATGGAAACGGCCTAACGAGGGTGAAAATCGTTTGTTTGATTACATGTTACTAATGTTATTGGGGTTATTTTAACACCGTTCTGATCACCGATCCCTGAGAAGAGAAGAGACTCATTTCTGGTCTGGATCCAGTCTGAACCAGTTCCTAATGACCATGTAAAAGGGTGACATTCCGGGTACCAGGCTTATGACAAGCAGGTCCTTGTTTCTTTGTGTCGCAGCTGAAAGCAATATTTACGTCATCACATCCTAAAAACTACTTTAATCTATTTGTTGCAACAAAAACTAGTACTGCTTGTGCTCCTGCCTGCTTGGAGGATGGATTTAATCCTGGAATTATTCTAATAATCCATCAGGAAATCATCTCGTTTTACTCCAGAGTGGTCTGAGTCTAGGCGTGTGTGACACAGAGAAAACAGATTTAGTTCACCTGTACTCAGCTCAATGTGGAGGAGAAGCATTAGAAAAGTTTTTTATTCATTCAGTTTCTCTGAAAAGCTGATGGGAGGTCAGTTTGACCCTCAGCTGCCTATGTGTTAATCGGGTACCAAGATAAGCACCCAGAACCCTGTGATAAGCCCCCTGAACCCTGTGTTAAGCACCCTGAACCCTGTGTTAAGCTCCCTGAACCCTGTGTTAAGCACCCTGAACCCTGTGATAAGCCCCCTGAACCCTGTGTTAAGCACCCTGAACCCTGTGATAAGCCCCCTGAACCCTGTGTTAAGCACCCTGAACCCTGTGTTAAGCACCCTGAACCCTGTGTTAAGCACCCTGAACCCTGTGATAAGCCCCCTGAACCCTGTGTTAAGCACCCTGAACCCTGTGTTAGCACCCTGAACCCTGTGATAAGCACCCTGAACCCTGTGATAAGCACCCTGAACCCTGTGTTAAGCACCCTGAACCCTGTGATAAGCACCCTGAACCCTGTGTTAAGCACCCTGAACCCTGTGATAAGCACCCTGAACCCTGTGTTAAGCACCCTGAACCCTGTGATAAGCACCCTGAACCCTGTGTTAAGCACCCTGAACCCTGTGTTAAGCACCCTGAACCCTGTGATAAGCACCCTGAACCCTGTGTTAAGCACCCTGAACCCTGTGTTAAGCACCCTGAACCCTGTGATAAGCACCTAGAACCCTGTGTTCCTGGTTCTGCACACGGATCAATGAACACTGTGTATAAAAGCACCAGAGGATGTTTGTGTATTATGACCAATCAGCAATTTAGTTTTAGTTAAAATTCAGCAGATCTACTGAATCCAGTCCCAATCATGAGCTGCAGCTGCTTTAGAGATCCAGCACTAGCAGCAACTCTGATGTCATCACAGTAGTCATATTAGAGAAGACACAACATACCCATTGTCCTTCCATGGAAGCCTCCCATAAAAGACAAAATACTGAGATCTGGACAACCAGGGGCCTACAATGTAAAGAAAATCAAACAAGAGGTACGAGAGAGACAGAAAAGTTTAAACCAAACTAATATGTAACACACGGCAGCGGGCGACGGGGTGTGGAACTGAATGACAGACCTGGTTTATCATGCAGGTGCTCAGATCTTCCTCAGATGGTGAGTTGTGGCCTCGCTCCTTGTTCTAAGGCAAACACAAACACACTTCAGGGTAAGATCAAACATCAGGTCCAGAACAGGAGGTGATTGTAGTTAACAGCTGGTTTAACATCTGGGCCCTTCTACAGGCTCACTGACCCTGTACCAGATGAACATGGATTTGAAGGCATTCTCATTGGAGCAGGAGCCACAGGCCATCGTCTGGACACGTGTCATCCCACTGGGAGCCACCTGGCAGTGAGAATCAGAGTCATAGAAGATGAGTCTGGGTCCCGACAGATCTGCACCACACAGTCCATCATAACAGTAAAATAACAATGTGTGTGTTTGTGTGTGTGTCTTTATAGGTTTAAGTGGACAAATTTGAACTTTAACCTGTACTGTGTGGACATTTTTACATTGTAGGGAAATTTCCTGGTCCACACAATGCCCTAAAACTTGGATTTAGAGGTTTGGTGTGAATTAGCTTTAGTTTAGGTTAGTTTAGGTTATTAATAGAACCACATTGGCTAAAGTTAGGGTTATGGTTAGGCATAGCAGAGTCACTAAAATGAATGGAAGTCAATGTAGGTCAACACAAACATATAAATACAAGTGTGTGTGTGTGTGTGTGTGTGTGTGTGTGTGTGTGTGTGTGTGTGTGTGTGTGTGTGTGTGTGTGTGTGTGTGTGTGTGTGTGTGTGTGTGTGAGTTACTAACTGAAATAAGACTTTCTGTGATTTTGTCAGGAAAATTCTCAGGTGGCAGGATTCCCAGAGCAGGTCGGTTCACAAATGTGCTCTGATGACAGAAGAGAAACACCAATCAAGTTCCCACATCATCATTGTCACTATCACAGTTATCATCATCATCATCATCATCACCATCATCACCGTCATCATCATCACCGTCATCATCATCACCATCAGCATCATCATCATCATCATCACCATCAGCATCATCACCGTCACCATCATCATCATCAGCATCATCCTCATCATCATCATCACCATCATAATCATCATCATCACCATCAGCATCATAATCATCACCATCAGCATTGTCATCATCATCATCATCATCATCATCATCACCATCAGCATCGTCATCATCACCATCAGCATCATTCTCATAATTACCATCATCATCATCACCATCATAATCATCACCATCAGCATCATCATCATCATCATTATTCTCATCATTACCATCATCATCACCATCATCATCATAATCATCATCATCATTCTCATCATTACCATCATCATCACCATCAGCATCATCATCATAATCATCACCATCAGCATCATAATCATCACCATCAGCATCATCATCATAATCATCATTACCATCATCATCACCATCAGCATCATCATCATAATCATCACCATCAGCATCATAATCATCACCATCAGCATCATCATCATAATCATCACCATCAGCATCATCATCATAATCATCACCATCAGCATCATAATCATCACCATCAGCATCATCATCATAATCATCACCATCAGCATCATCATCATAATCATCACCATCAGCATCATCATCAGCGTCATCAACATCATCATCATTACCATCATCATCATCATCTAAATCGGCAACATCATCATCATCGTCATCATCACCGCCATCATGTCAACATCATCATCACCATCATAATCATCCTCATCAGCGTCATCATCATCATTACCATCACCATCATCAGCATCATCATCAGTGTCGTCATCATCACCATCAGCATCATCATCATTACCATCAGCATCATCATCATTACCATCAGCATCATCATTACCATCAGTAGGGCTGCAACAAACGATTATTTGGATAATCGATTAATCGGATGGGGTCTCGACACGATTAATCGATTAATCGGATTACATGGGGAAATTTTAAAAAACTGCTAGGGAAACGTTATTTCTCTCCTTCCTTCACTTTATTTAACACAACATTATAAGAAAACAGTTCAATAGCAGAAAAACAACATGCCATCACCTAAATTGTCTTATAAGGTGTATAGACAGAGACCCTAAGCTACACCTATCTGTGACCTAAAATGCTTGGTCCAAGTTAAACAGCTTAAGGGCAATTCTCATCTGTTTTGTTTGATCTCATCTGTTGACATTTATTTTAAATGTAATTAAACATAGGCTGTGAATTAATCAAAATTGATCACTATTTCCAAAAATGACTGAAAAAATACCAAATAAAACAAAAGTAAATGAATGCCATTCTCCTTGCGATGATGCCCTGGGCAACTGCCATAAAGTCACATCAAGAAATGCTGCTGATCATTCCAATGATCCCAAATAGACTCACATTAGGCCACAAGAAAGCAACTGAACCCAAAAATATATTAACCAGTATATAACTGCACTCTCACACAACACGCCTGCAGCAACAGTTAGGACTCCTCCCTCCCTTTTAAAAGCGTTTTTGCTTCCGAGGACATTGTGGTTGTAAAACCACATGCTAGTAGTCTGGCCCCGGTGTGATCAACCAGTTTCTGCGGGAATGTGACGGCGGAACCAGGGCCAGATTAACACTTTGTTGTACCCTGGGCAACAATATTCAAGGGCTCCATCATCACGACCCGAGGATCACCATAATGTGGTCACATACAGAATATTTTACTGTAATATGCAGTAAATATACTCAATACTTGAATGCCTGACAACACGTAACCCGCCCAGAGTAACCTTTGACCCACCTCGTGTGGACTGACCAATGAGGAGAGGGTCTTAACTTGAGGCCCTCTCTTCATTGGTCAGTCTGCATGAGACTGACTCTCAACTGACGTTCAGTCGTAGGCAGCGAAGCGTCTCTGTGCAGCACAAAAGCCCGGGTGGACAGTTTGTTTAATGTAGGGTGATCATATTTCCATTTCCAAACAAGAGGACAGGGGATCTGTGCCTATGACGTCACACTATGGCAACACCACACAAACCATGTTGGGACCCATTTTTTGTAAGAACTAAATTAATATCAGATTCTGCCAATTAAAGGGCTCTAAAACAATTCATATGTAAATATTTTGCATATTTAATGCAAAATCTCATTTTTATGCTTTAGTGCTGCAACAAGGTTTTATTAATAATAAATTATTATACCTTTTGTTTTACTACAGCATCGGTAAGCTTCCTGTGCACAGATTATTAAGGATGCTTGTTTCAGCTGTGAGATTAGACGATAGGATCAATGAAAACATAAGTTGTCACACACTCCATGGAAACTTTCAGATAATCCACAAATAGTGGCTTTCAAATGGTTTTGTTACTTTTTGCAAGTTTAGAAAAGAAGCTGATGAGACAGCATGTTTTATAATTTAGTTTTTCATCTGATATATTAGAACATGTCAGTAATGTCTGAGGGGCTTTTACAAACACTGTATAACTAACACTACTGGAGAGGGCATCAATTACACAGAGGCTTCTGGGGAGCCCAGTTATGGGGGGGGGGACATTTTGCCTTGGCCCCCAAAATGTCTTGAAACGGCCCTGGGTGTGTGACTGAGTTTTGAAGGTGATCTGAATTGTATCAGATGTATAACTATGACATGTGTATAACTTATTGTTTTTTACTGGTAAAAACGTGTAGTGGAGATAAATCTACCTACATTTTACTTTGTTTTCTTGTTTTTATTTAACTATTTTCCTGTCCTGTCTGTCTCTCATCTTCCTGCATCTCCTCATAATTCTCCAGAAAATCTGTTGCCTGGATTCTTACTTTTTCACCTCATCAGTTACTTTTGAGCAGATCAAAGAGATCTCCTGACCGCAAAGCGGAGAGCGCGTTTTCGATGCTGCGTGAGTTGAAATCACCACAGCACAGGTGATGAGCTCCGCAGCAGAGCGCTTCAGGCACAAATAAGACAGAAAATAGAGAACATGTGCAGACAAGAACGATCGTGTGCTAATTATAGTTTTTTGGTTGCGCCACTTTGAGAATGGACCGTGCGCTGGAAGCAGCTGCCTGGATCGCTGTGCAACAATGCGGAACCGGTTCGCAGCAGCGCAAGTCTGCCGGCTCTCCCTCGCGCTGATCTGCCTGTACCGGCTCTCCCTCGCGCTGATCTGCGGCTCTCCCTCGCGCTGATCTGACTTGCTCTGGTCTGCGCGCAACGGTGGGCGGGAGGGGGGGGGGGGGGGGGCGCGCTTTTGGAAGAGTTGTGCGACACAACGAATCGATGACGCAATTCGTTGCCAACGCTTTTAGTAATCGATTTTCATCGAATTCATCGATTCGTTGTTGCAGCCCTAACCATCAGCATCATCATTACCATCAGCATCATCATCATTACCATCAGCATCATCATTACCATCAGCATCATCATCATTACCATCAGCATCATCATCATTACCATCAGCATCATCATCATTACCATCAGCATCATCATCATTACCATCAGCATCATCATTACCATCAGCATCATCATCATTACCATCAGCATCATCATCATTACCATCAGCATCATCATTACCATCAGCATCATCATCATTACCATCAGCATCATCATCATCATTACCATCATCATCATCATCATTACCATCAGCATTATCATCATCACCATCAGCATTACCATCATCATTAAAATCATCATCCTCATCATTACCATCATCATCATCATCATCACCATCATCGTCTAAATCTGCAACATCATCATCATCACCATCATAATCATCATCATCATCATCATCGTCATCATCATCACCAACATCAACGTCATCATCACCATAATCATCATCATCATTGTCATTATCAGCATGACCATTATCATTGTAAGGTTATGAAGTTCATCATTTTCAGCTCCACACAGCTGCCCCCTGTGCACAGTAACACCCGTGTTGAAAATGCCAAGGTCGGGTGTTCCTCAGACTGTTTACATTCCAGGAGAAGAGTCCGAAGGAGAAGAAGAACGCTTTCAATAATCAAAATACTTAATTTGTGATTAAAGCTATTCGAAACAGATGTTGATCAATAATAATCAAGTGAATGATCTGTGAAATAAATATGTCATGACTTGTGTTTAATGAAAACAGGACTATTGCACAGACAGACTGATCCTCATCTCCATAGAAACGCATGACACATTGTTCCAACCAATCAGAGCTTTCGGCTGCCGCAGGAGAATCTGGCTTGTTGACTTAAAGTATCCAATCCGCTTTACTAAAACTTATCAACAATTCAGAGATATAAAACAAGGCAACGCCATTTTAAGCTCAGTTCCATTTTGACTTCAGTTCTAGTCACCGTCATCCTAAAGAAAAGCACAGCCTGGCCAGATGTGTTTTCTTCTTTAAACTAAGAACTGTGAAGTTGGAGATTTTCGTCGTTTAACAACCAGACGACATCCTTTCAAAATAAGAGCACCTGCTGACGCTGCCGATCGGTACCGGGGTTGACCCTTCAGACGGGCTTTGACGTGCTGCGACCGCTGCTCCGACAGCTCCAGTACACATCCGAGGTCTCCAGACCTGGCATTTCCTGATCTACCTGGGAGGCCCCCACTGGGTACGTACACGGCAAAATAGCGGCTCATGTCATCACTTTATAAGCCTTGTGATATCTAGTCATAACAAAGACTACCAGATTCAATGACGTCAGCCTAAGGAGTCTGAACCAACCACACACACACACACACGCACCAACACAACATCCAAATCCATTTTCATCCATCACAGAGTTAGTCCTGGTAGATTGTTTAGAATTTATAATTAAGAAATTAAAGATTCTCAAACGATCCCAACTCTCTCTCTTTTCTTGTCTCAAAGTCAATACAGAGTGTTTAATTAAACTCCCTGATGATAAAAACAGCCCATCTTCTGATTATAACAAGTGATCTACTTACAGTGTATTAAAATACAACTCTAGATAGTTACATCACTCTATTCCGTTACATCATCATCGTCCCAATCATCATCACCATCATCATCCTCATCTTCACCATCATCCTCATCATCAGCATGACCCTCATCAGCAACAGCATCAATTCCACCATCAACATATTCAGCAGCAGCATTGTCACCATCATGGTCTTCACCATCAATGTCTTTACCATCATCATCATCATCATCAGCATCATCATTATCACCAACATCATCATCATCACCGCCACCACCATCAATCTGGAGAAGGCCTATGACCCTGACCCCAGGTGTGAGGAGCACTCAGGGCGTATTGGGTGGACGCTCCATTAAACTGGCCAAAAGATTCTGTAATATCCATTTAATCTTTGAAAATTAGCAACAACAGTTTTGTTATAACAGGGTAGCTAGCAGAAACGATCATTTATGACACACTGAAGCTGACTGATGGTGTGTTTTATGGTGTTTCGGACTGAGCCTACCAGATTGTTAGGATTAGCCATCAGCTTGAGGAGAGCAGGATGGTTGTAGCCTGAAAGAAAACACAAGGAGAGGGGTTTTACCAACATGCTCTTTAGTACTTATTTTTCATTTAAACAGTAATATACTGTATATGAACTTGTTTGGAGGGCTGTAGCTGATTTAGAAGCAGATGTTTTCAAGTATGCAAGGCATTATGGGACGATGACGCAAAGTGGTTGTGGACATTAGATTTGGAGCTCACATTTTTCTTAGCTGTTGTTACAGAGAAGGGTTACAATGCCACACTGTGCCACTTTTGGTTGTAATTTCCAGTTGAAAGGCAACGAAGGAACCGATATAAGTATCCACAGCTTTTCTCACCAGAAGAAACAGAAAGAAAATGGGAAGATGCATGCGAATGAACACAACCCCCAAAAGACGCACGGCTGTGCTTTCGCCATTTTAGCCCTGATGCATTCGAGTCATTTGGTAGGCTACAGCTGCTGAAAGACCTCACTGGTACTTCTGGGTAAAAGCGAAGACTAAAGGCAGATGCTGTTCTGATGATCTTTCCCAACAAGGAGCCTACGCACCCACCAGTAGTTAGTGAACACCGCGCCAAGAGAAGCTAGACGCTTTCTTGGACAATTGTAAACAACCTGCTTCCACTGTAGTTACCGTGGTTATGGATGATGACCCATCAGATACTTTTTCTAATAAGGATGAGAAAGGCAATGGATCAGTGAAATTTGGTATGATATCTGTAAGTGTTCAGACCTGTTTGAGCAAGACAGATTCATCAACTGAGACTGAGATAAACAAATGACCCGCACTTGTATAGTGCCTCTCAGAGTAAGGACTCCAAAGCGCTTTACACTACAGTGTATCATTCATCCTCCTCCTCCTATGATCGCCAGACTCTTTTGTCCTTCCGTTCGTTCACGATCGCCTAAGATGCACCGAGGACGTACCATCCTGTTTGTTTACCTGAGCGGCGTACTGGCTCGGAACCAATTGACGATCCAGAGCTGCGCACCTCTAGCAATGTTTGTCCGGTCCCGGGAAAACGTCGGAGGAAAAGAGGTAAACGAGCAGGAATCCAGGTGAGAATAAGACTTCTCTTAAAGCGTGGTTTATCTAGTAAACATCGGCGCGATCTTCTTGCTTCTTGTCCTTTGTTTGGTGACCTGAGCGCCACTTCCGCATTTCCGCCAGGCCGCGTTGCGACGCGTTTCATCCGTCCAAGTTTTTTAAGGTCGGTTTATCCTCATTCCTCAGTGGTTTCTCCTCCTGTTCCCTCCATAAGTGGTTTTTATAAACACCGTGGATCTAACCCTGCTAATTTACGTCCACTAACTCCAGCTGTTTCTGATTCCTCCACCTCACCCAGCATGGCCCTATTGAACACCCGCTCTGTTAACAGTAAGACCTTCCTGCTCAATGATCTAATTCTGTCTAAAAACCTGGATTTTCTGTTTCTGACTGAAGTTTGGCAGCAAACATCTGATTATTCTGGTCTGGTTGAACTCTGCCCGAGTGGTTATTCTTTTCTTAGCCATCCTCGGGGTTCTGGTCGTGGTGGAGGCCTAGCTGTTGTTTTCAGAGACCATCTTCCATATAGCTCTACAACCTCTGGTCGCTTTGCTTCCTTTGAACTGCAGCTGATTAAAGTCGGGCGTAAGGACCCGTTCTACTGTGCTGTGGTCTATCGTCCACCTGGTCCAAACAGTTCTTTCCTTCAGGAGTTTAGTGACTTTCTATCCTCCACTGTGAAGCTGTCCAGACTGGTGATTGTTGGTGACTTTAACATCCACGTTGATGATCCCTCCGATCACTTTGCCATGTATATCTCCAGCCTTATGGACTCCTTCGGCTTTACCCAGCATGTTTCTGGCCCCACACACACCAGGGGGCACACTCTAGACCTTGTTTTTACCCTGGGTCTAAATGCTGACAGTGTTTGTCCTGAGGACGTTTATATTTCAGATCACCATTGCATTTTCTTTAACTTGTCAGTTTCTGCGTCCCCACCTCCTGCTCACCGTATGGTTAGTTCTCGTTTTCTTAATGAGAGCACAGCTAGCAATTTTTCTGCTGCTTTTGATCCACCCTGTTCTTCTGATAACGACCCAGATTCCTTAACTTCTCAGTTTAACGAGCACTGCCTCTCCATTCTGGACAACATCTGTCCTGTCAGTACCAGATCAGTTCCTGCAGTGAACCCTACTCCCTGGTTTAATGACAGCCTTCGCAGCCTGAAGAGCCAATGCAGAAAAATTGAGCGTTTGTGGAAGAAAACCCATCTCCATGTCCATCTGCTGCACCTAAAGGACCTTCTGACATCCTTTAACTCTGCAGTCAGAGACGCCGGGGTTTCCTATTTTTCCAACCTGGTGTCCCAGAGCAAAGGGAACCCCAAAGTGCTGTTTAACACCATCAGCAGCATCGTCTCTCCTGCCTCTCCTACAGCCTCCATCCACTTTGTTAGACTGTGAGAACTTTCTGTCTTTCTTTGTGGACAAAGTCAATAACGTTAGATCTAGCATCTCTCCTTCAGCCTTATCACTGCCTCTCCCGACTCCTAGATTAATTATAATAATGATTATGATGACAGTAAAAGATGTGTTCAGCATATCAGGTCAAGTTCACCTCATCCAGCTAACACAGAGTCCAGATAAACATAACTTCACACATGTTTTGACGCATGACCAAAGCTTTCTGCCCGAGAGAGTGGGAGTGTCCTGGAGCTTGGTAAAGGTTGGTTTATGCTTGACGCGTCCGCGAGGTCCGCACGGCTCCGCGCGGAGAAGTTGCGTCATTTTGTGTCATTTTAACAACCACGCCCCTCCACCGCGTCTCCGCACGGCCCAAGATTTCCGCAACGCGCACCTCGGAAAATTTCTAACCACGCGGACGGTCGGACGCGGAAAAACATGGCGGACCGGCACGGCAGAGGTTCGTAAATACAGACATTTGTATGATTCAGCTCTCAAAGATCACTGTGATCAACATGTTGTTAATAGTTCTTGGAGAGAAATAGCTCGCACTGTCGGAAAAGACGAGAACGCTGTTAAAAATGCTGAAATGTCATGTTGTAAACAGTAATTTCTACTTCTACTATGGTGTAGTGTTGGATGCTTGCCGTAGAGCTCCATGCTGCCCCCTACAGTTTGGGAGAATATTGGCTCACCGCAGAGACGAGCCGCACAAACCATAAACGCTGCGAGTTGTGAAGCGCGTTCCAGCCGCGAGCCGCGTCACCGCGCGGAAAGTGAATGCGTCAAGCATAAACCAAGCTTTAAACTATCCATCCCCAGCTTCAGAAAGAGTTCTTGAACCAACACCAAGGAGGGAAAGGGTACGGCCGACCTGAAACCTCCACCTGCTGTTCTAGTCACGCCGACTAGAATAACCCACGAATAAACGAACTGTAACCAGCTAACGGGGACTCTCCCAGAGTCATTGATTTCTGAAGATAAGTTAAGACGAGAACGTCCATCTGCCAAACGCTTGACAAACCGTGTACCCGGGACAACTCTGGACCAGACGATCGGACACTTGCGTCTTTGTTACCAGACTGAGTGTCATCTTGGATGAGCACATCTTCCTGATCTCCAGATCCACAAGAGGGTCCAGTTTGGGTGAGGTAGCACACGAGAATGTGTTTGATGTGGTTTTCTCTCTAAATAATTCAGTTAGCCTCAAACATCATTTTCATCCAGAACGCTTCCAACTCTCTGGGAAAGAAACCTTCTCATAACTTCATCCACGCATCCAAACTCGTATTTTCCATTTAGCTTCCACTCAGGCACAGGTTTGCTTTTAAAACAAGTTTTAATATCAAAGCTGTTGAAAATTGTCATTTAAATTGCCATCCATTAATTGTCATTTTATAATTGTCGTTTCAAATCTTTAAGTTTAAAATTGTTAGTAATAAATTTCTTCCTTTTTAAACTTACCTCATTATTGAAACGAAACACAGAAAAGGAATAAGGTTTCTGGTTATTTGCAAGCAAACATCCTAACTTCTGATTCAGAATAACTTTTGCTATTAAATTTAATTATCTAAATTAAACATTCATCTTTGGATTTAAAATTAGATCAAACAGGTTGATGTATGAACTTAGAGTCATATATAAGTATCCGGGATATTTATATATGATCTAAGCCTCATAAATTAATCTGATTGGTCATTCTTCGGAATCTCCACTGAATAGCAACAGAGGTGATTTCAGTATGCAGATTAACTCTACATAAATAGCTTTGCTCCTGTTTCTTTGCCTGAGTTAACCAAACTAGTTAACTCTATGAAGACCTCTGCATGCCCCCTCGACATTTTACCCTCATCTTTGTTTAAAAGTGCTTTTCAGTCCATCGGTCCCAGCGTGCTCTCTATAATTAATGCTTCTCTGGTTTCTGGTCAGGTTCCTGCTTACTTTAAGAATGCTGTAATCCACCCGCTTCTTAAAAAACCGAGTCTCGACCCCTCTCTCCATAGCAGCTTCAGACCCATCTCCAAGATCTTGGAAAAGGTTGTGGCTAAACAACTCACAGCTGCTCTTGATGAACATAACATCTATGATTGCTTCCAGTCAGGTTTTCGTAGAGCTCATTCTACTGAAACAGCTCTTCTTAGGGTCTCTAATGACCTTCTGACTCACAGTGATGCAGGGGACTGTTCTGTTCTGGTCCTGCTGGACCTGACTGCAGCCTTTGACACTGTTGACCATCACCTGCTACTGGAGAGGCTCAGCAACTGGGTAGGCCTATCAGGATCTGCTCTGGAGTGGTTCTCCTCTTATCTCTCTGAGCGCTCCTTTTCTGTGGCCGTCTCCAAGTTTAGGTCCTCCACCATCTCTCTTACCCATGGTGTCCCACAAGGTTCTATGCTGGGGCCTCTGCTCTTCCTCCTCTATCTGCTGCCTCTTCAGCACATCCTGAGCTCCTTCAAAGGAATCTCCTACCATCTTTATGCAGATGACATCCAACTGTACATCTCCTTTATGCCCCATGAGATGTCTAAGCTGCAGCTGTTACACACCTGCTTAGACTCTATCAAAACCTGGATGG